TTCACCTGCACAAGTGCTGAGGTAGGTCTCCCTGCAGGATTAGTTTTCCCTTCGTCGGGGCTGTTCAAATCACGGACAAACAGTATCCCACATTCAATCACTGAGTTACAGGCGGGCATGAATGATCCCTCCCCACTGGGTCACATTTCAGTGGCTGATAGGCCACTTTTTAAAAATTACCTTTTTATGAGATTTCCTTTTATCCATGTTCTCCGTGGCTTTAGTTGGATTTGGGCTGTTCATCGGGATGCCATGACAGACGAAAGGAAAAGAAAAATGCTGTTAATGATGCCGTCTTTGAAACAAGACAAGTCAGAGAAGCACTGCATTAACAGTTAGAGCTATGCTGTTATCAAGTGAAGGCTTGAGGGCATATTAGGATGACGTTAGACTCGTATCCACGCCGAGACACGATTATTCTGGACAGACAACACTACAAAATGCCACCAATCAGACAAGCAGTGTCCCAGAGGAGCCTCCCACAGCCCTGTGCCTGCTTTTTTTGGAGTTGTGACCTTTCCAACCTTCAGAGCAGGATGCCAAATGAAACTGAGCTGTAATTACTCCTCTGTTTTTTAGATTACAAATCCCCAGCATCTGAATGAGGCAGTTCACCAGTTAAAGCAGGAGCCACTTCCTCAGGAAAATTAGTTCCCTGAGTCTTGTACCTGAGAAGGATAAGTTGATCCTTTATCAGTAATTCAGTCAGTGTGCCATGAAATAACACGAGGCTAGCTGTCACAGAAAGCCGTCCGCTCTGCTGCCAGTGCCGCTTACAGGTGTCTATTCATCTCTCTGCTCTCATCAATTACACAAGCCAATGACAGATCACTCCACATTCATTTGTCTGCTCACATATGCATGCTAATAAACGCATCAGATATCAAAGTAAATTAATTTATTCATATGAAGATGGAGTACCCACTGTACACAGTGAAATTAATGCATGCACTCAATGGCATCAGCCTGCGTGACAGCTCAGCCAGTGTAAGCAGTCTTCCAGTAACACGGTTTCCCCCCATTTAGCGGCACCCATACTGCCATATGGCTCAACTTATTCATTAACATTTTTTAATCCAAATTAATTTGTCTCCACATTCTACAACATGAAAGGCAAAGCTCCCTGCAAAAA